CAAATAATTCCTCCCGAGTAACTTGTCCTGCCACATAATTCACCATAATGTTGGGCCACGTAAATCCATTACTTAGCCCAAATTAATCTTTCAACAAATTATAACCATGAACTTAATTGGTGTGGAATTTGGTGTTCCAATAATTGACTGCGTTAATTTCCTTCCATCACTTCACATCCACAAAATATTTCAATATCCTAAAAATAAGACATAAAAATATCATAGTACTTGAATCCATCTAATAAATAAATGAGTCGAAAAATATATAAGTGCAATAAAAGTAAGCATATAAAAATACACTAATAAATATATAAAATACACACTTTTTTCGACCAATCAATTTACGTGGATTTGGATTTTGATTTTTAATTTTTTTTGGTGTGGGACGTGTCAAAAAAGGGTCCAGAGTGGATTAGTATTTTTTTCGTTTTTTTTTATTCCACGTGTGTTTTCCAGCAGGACACGTCATTTTAATAGTGCCGGAGATGAAAGTCATGCTTCGACTTGCAAAGAGATGAAAGGTCATGTACTTTAGTGCTAATATGAAAAGGTCCTGATTAAAATGCAAAAACATAAAAGGTCGTGCTTTTAGATGCAATTTTGCCTATATATATATAAAAAGAATTACTATTTATTAAAAATAGTAATCCAAAAGTTTAGCAAAGCATTTATTACATACTATTTTAAGAATTTTTTTTTTAAAAAAAAAAATTATTTAGGAATTAATTTGAATCTTATCCAAATTATTTAGGAAAGAAGTGCATTCCATACATGAATCCCTATAAACTAGGGATCTTTAATAAGTGACGGATAAATCATTAGTAAATCTATTTTTTTGGATTTATTATAAATCTTTTAAAGAATTATAATACTGGAATGGACATATATATAATTAATATTTACTAAAAATAGCTATCCAAAAATTTAGGAAAGCATTTATTACATTCTATTTTACAATTTTTTTTTTTAAAAAAATTATTTAAGAATTAATTTGAAGTCTTATCCAAATTATTTAGGAATATTTTACAAAAAAACGTGCCAGATTGGTTTTAAAATGTGAGATTTTAATGGGTTACACCAATCAAATTCATTCCAAAATCTGTTCACCATTTATGTTTTATCCAACTCATTTTATTTTGATTCATTTTTCAATCAATTGAAAAATCATTCAATCTTTTCAATAGTTGATTT